GGGGCCACCAGCACACGCCTGGGCTGGACCTAGGTCCCGCCTCTGGCCGGGAAGGGGGTCGGGCCCAGCCCTTCCACCCCATTGGCAGCTCCCCTTCACTTAATTTATTAAGAAAAAAAAAAATTTTTTTTTAACAAATAAGAGGAAAAAAGGAAAAAAAATGGGAGACGGGGGAGGGGGCTGGCAGCCCCTCGCCCACCAGCGCCTCCCCTCACCGACTTTGGCCTTCTAGCAACAGACACAACGACCAGGCTCCGGCGGCGGCGGGGGTCACATACGGGTTCCCTCACGCCTGCCAGCCGCCCGCCCGCCCGGCGCAGATGCACGCGGCTCGTGTATGTACATAGACGTTACGGCAGCCGAGGTTTTCATGAGATTCTTCTATGGGCTTTACCCCCCCCCCCGAACCTCCTTTTTTACTTCCAGCGCTAGCTGTGACCCTTGTACATGTCTCTGTTTCTTCACTTGGTTATGATTTGTATTTTCTGTTTTTTTTTGTTTTGTTGTTTTTTGGTTTTTAATTTATAACAGTCCCACTCACCTCTATTTATTCATTTTTGCGAAAACCCGACCTCCCGCATCCCCCCTCCCCGAAGCCATCCCGCCCGCCCCTCCGGGGACCGCCCCGCCGCCGGGCTCTCCCTGCGCCCCAGTGTGTGTCCGGGGCCGGCCCCGTCCGTCTCCGCCCGTCCGCCCGCGGCTCCAGCCGGGTTCTCATGGTGCTCAAACCCGCTCCCCTCCCCGACGTCCTGCACTTTCTCGGACCAGGCCCCCACTCCCGACCCGACCCCAACCCCGCCTGAGGGTGAGCGACTCCTGTACTGTAGGGGAAGAAGTGGGAACTGAAATGGTATTTTGTAAAAAAATAAAATAATAATAATAATAAATAAATAAAAAAAATTTAAAGTTTTAAAGAAAGAACTATGAGGAAAAGGAACCCCGTCCTTCCCAGCCCCGGCCAATTTTAAAAACACGGACCTTCCCCTCACCCCCCCCTCCCCACCCCACCGCCTCCCCTTTTCTTTTCAAGCGTGAACCAGCCCAGGGCCAGGGCCTCACTGGGGCAGGGACACCCCGGGATGAGTTTCTCTGGGGCTTTATTTTTGTTTCGTCGGTGGATTTTCTCTCCCACGCTGGGGCTGCGGAGGGCTGGGGGGTTTACAGCCCCGCCCCCTCGCACTGCACTGTCTCTCTGCCCCAGGGGCAGAGGGGTCTTCCCAACCCTACCCCTATTTTCGGTGATTTTTGTGTGAGAATATTAATATGAAAAATAAAATCAGAGAAAAACATCCGGCTTCGCTAACGTGCTGGGGCTCGCGGGGCGCGCGCGGGGAGGAGGGCTGCCCCGGCTGCGCAGACCCCGGCGGGGCGAGCCCCTCCCCGAGGCGCCTGTGGAATGTCCAGAGCGCTGGTCCGCTCCTCGGGATGGGGGGGTGCCTAATCCTGGAGCCGCATTCCAGGATAAGGGGGGGTGGGGAGAGGCTGGGCCGGGGGAGGGGCAGGAAAGAGGGCTATAAGGGCCGCGGCCCAGGCGGGCGGGAGCCAGGCAGGCCATGGCGGATGTCCCCGGGGCGCAGCGACCGGCTCCCGGCGGCGGCCCGGAGCCCCGGGACCCCCTGGACTGCTGGGCCTGCGCTGTGCTGGTCACGGCCCAGAACCTGCTGGTGGCTGCCTTCAACCTCCTGCTGCTGGCGCTGGTGCTGGGGACCATCCTGCTACCCGCTGTCACCATGCTAGGCTTCGGCTTCCTCTGCCACTCCCAGGTGAGCGCGGCCCTTCGCGGGGACGGTGGCGGTGGGGGTCTGCGGGCCACGGCTGCCCGCCCGGGCTGTCGGGCCTGGTGGGGCCTGACGCCTGCTCTCCTCCCGCAGTTCCTGCGCTCCCAGGCGCCCCCTTGCACCGCGCACCTGCGGGACCCGGGCTTCACGGCCCTGCTGGTCACCGGATTCCTGCTCCTCGTGCCGCTGCTCGTGCTGGCCCTGGCCAGCTACCGCCGCCTCTGCCTGCGCCTCCGCCTGGCCGACTGCCTCGTGCCCTACAGCCGGGCCCTCTACCGGCGCCGGCGCGCCCCGCAGCCGCGGCAGACCCGGGCCTCCCCGGGGCCCCAGGCCGCTCCCACGTCAGGGAAGGTCTGGGTCTGAGGACCCTCGAGTCAAGAACCACCCTGACGACTGCCCCCACTCCCAGGCGGCCCGAGGACTTGAAGCCCGGGGGTCTCCCGACCTGCCCCGCCCCCACCCTGCCTAAGCCGGGGTCCAGCACCGCCTCGGGGAACCGGAGCATCCGTGGACGAGAGCTGGCGGAAGGCCGCCACACCCCGGGAAACCCCCTCTCCTCCTCCTACCTAGATCTGAATCCTGGACATCTGGGCTGGACGCTGCACACCCCCCATCACTCCGCCCTCCCCTCCTCCTCCCTCAGGACGACGGAACCGCGTGTCCTCCTTGCCTGGTGCAGCTCTTCTAGTATTTACGGGCTGGGGGTGGGGGAGGCAGGTTGGAGGGGAAGGAGTGAGCACACATCAATAAAGAACGAACTGAACGCGTTCCTGGGATCCTGTGAGCACAGAGATGGCACAATTCCTGTCACCCCCGTCCTGTGCCCAGGAGCAGGAAACAAGCCGGGGCAGAGGGGCGGGGGCGCAAGACCGCATCCTTCGGCCGCCCGGGGGCCTTCCCTTATCGCGGTAGCCCGTTCTTCCTGGCCAGACCCCAGAGCTCTGTCCCTGACGCTGAAGTCACCTCCCCCCTCAACAGAGTGGAGAGGGCCCGGCCTCCGTCGCCTGCCCTGCTCCCCTTGGGGACCCGAGCCCGTTCTCTGACCCCAGCTTGGAGGAACTCGGTGTTGCCAGGCCGGGGAGGGAAACAATGGGCCTTCCGGAGCAGGATGACACCCCCTCCGGCCACAATGCTGGAGCAGCAGCGTGGGAGGGAAGATGGAGGGGCCCACCCTGGGCCCTGCTGGTCCTTAGTTCACCCCCACCCCCGAGCCAGAGGGAACCTCTGGCTCCCCTGCACGTCCAGGTTGGGGAAGGAGGGTTGAGAGTGCTCCCGACATCCCAGCGACACTCGGACACTAGGCACGTCGTTCCAGGTTTAATGGTCCGCAAAGCATGCGCGATCGAGGTCAGAGATAGGGAAGCCCTGCCAGGCTCTCCCTCTGCACCTCAATAGAAACGATGTGGTGGCCGGGTACCATGGCCAGGCCCAGTACACGGGGTTCCCCCGCCGAGAAGGAATCTGGAAAGAAGGGTCAGAGCATCAGGGAGGCAGGCCAGCGCCGGTCCCGCCCCTTCTAGCCCCAGAACACAGGGGTGCAGCCAGACACTGAGGGGACAGCGCCTTGCGGGGAGGCTCCGCCGCATTCCCAGGGGGCCGTGCATCCCCCGGGCACTGACCCGACGGCTTGAGGAACTCCTGCGCCGAGCCCAGGATGACATTGCAGTCGCGGTCGGTGCAGAGGAAGCAGCCGACCAGGGTCCGTCCATCTGTCATGCGAATGCGCATAGTCTTGTTGAGCAGCGCCTCCAGCTGCTGCCGGGCCCGCGCGGCCGGCGAGTCCTCGCGCTCCCCGTCCGAGTCCTGCGCGGGGCGCGACACGCGCTGAGACGGCACCGCCCCGGCGGCCGCCCACCCGCGGAACCACAGCTCCCGACAGCCCGCGGGGCGCTCCCACCGAGCCCAGAGGCTGCCGGGAGCCGCAGTTCCCCCTCCGGCCCCCCACTCCCATCTTGCTCCCAGGCTGCCCCTCGATCCCAGAACCCCAACCCGCGCTAACCCCGGCGCTGGAGCTGCTCTGACGCCGGCTGCAACAGCCATTCTCCTCTCGTAGCAGCATGGTTGGTCCAGCTCCGGCCATTTGCCCCGGGGCCTCCTCTGGGCCCTTCAACTTCCTAAGAAGCTTTCGGGTCCGGCGGTCTGAGATCTCGCGAGCGCTCCCGACCTCTTTTCTTTCGCGAGATCACCTCTCCTCCCCCTCGTCGTCTCCTGGGCAACTGCAGAGATCTCGCGAGCTCCTCCTACTTCTCCGGCGCCGGATGTCTTAAGATATCGCGAGAAGTTTCACCGCTTTAGTTTCATACAGACCCTTCAGGAAGCCGGGAATTTAGCGAGACACTTTTTCTCGTAATCACACTCCACCCCATACTCCCTTGCTTCTCTGCTTCGCCAGTCAGTCCTAAATATCCCCTCCCGTCCAGACCACTCTGAAGACGGAGGGCGTTCGCTTTCCCCCGGACCTCTGGAGGACGCAACTCAATTCCTTGAAAGCCAGACTCAGACTACATTTCCCGTGAGCGCGCACAGCCCCCGCCCAGTGTTTGATCTCGGTAGACGGTGGCCGGAAAGGGACAATGGTTTCCATGTCAGCGGACCAACGCGCTCGCGAGGGGGAAGATGCAGTGAGTGAGTGAGTGAGTGAGTGAGTCAGTGAGTCAGTGAGTGAGTGCGTGCGTGCTGAGGGGCGATGAAGCAACCAGAGACGCAGGTGGCCGACGGCGCAAGAGCCGTGCCGCGCCGGGGCCTCGTGGGGGGGCCAGACTTCGAGTTTTTCCGGCGTCGCTATTTCACGCCGGCCGAGGTGGCCCAACACAACGCGCCGGAAGACCTGTGGGTGTCCTACCTGGGCTCCGTGTACGACCTGACGCCGTTGGCTCGCAAGTACAAGGGTAAGGGCCGCGCTCTGGGCCAGGGTCAGGGTGTGCGTCGCGGGGCAGGTGCCTGGTTCGTGCGCGGCGGGCGCTGACGGCGGCTGCTCCTTCCCAGGAGACCTGCTGCTAAAACCCATCGTGGAAGTTGCCGGCCAGGACATCAGCCACTGGTTCGATCCGAAGACCAGAGACGTGAGTTCTGCCGGAACCCGGGGTGGGGGTGGGGGGGTGGAATGGGACCGCGGGACCGCGGGACCGCGGGGTGGGGAGGAAAGGCGGGAGCTGGCCGGAGTCGGAGGTCGTGACTGCCCCGAGGCCCCTCTCCCGATCCCTGCGTTAAAGATCCGCAAGCACGTCGATCCGCTGACCGGTACCCTGAGATACCGCACCCCCCGGGGCCGCTTTCTGCACGTCCCGCCTCAGCTGCCGCGTTCGGACTGGGCCAATGATTTCGGGAAGCCCTGGTGGCAGGGGGTGCGTTATGAGGTGGGGCGGCTGTCTGCCAAGACCCGCAACATCCGCATCATTAACACGCTCACGTCGCAGGAGCACGCGCTGGAGGTGAGAACTGGTGCCTGCGGGCAGGTCAGAGGGAACTGGGAATCCCAGCAACTCTCCCAGGAGATCTTCAGGCCGTTGGCTCTCCAGAGCCAGTGGGAGCAGTATTTTCCCCCTCTTTAGGGGTAACCGAGGAGAGCAGACCACCTAGGTCTGCGGGGTTGGGAATGGAGGAGTGGCCGGATCACAGGGTACAAGAGAGGCCCTCATAAGCCCCGGGTCAGCAGTTCATGCACCCTAGTGATGGTGGTCCTCGGAAGCACTCCCATGCTGTGTTTTGGATAGTAGTTGCAACCGGACTCTCTTATTAATGTTCTCTGTGGAAGGGATGAAGGGAGGGGGCAGTGACTCTGACCCTTTAGGGCCCTCCGCCGCATGCTGGAGCTCCAGCTTCGTTTGGGGGACTGGGAAGTGCCTAAAAATATTATCTGCCAAGGGAGGCACTCTGAGCCCAGCACGATCATCTGCGCTCCGGGCCTTGGCTTGGGGCGCGGGTCTGTGTGTGTGTGTGTGTGTGTGTGTCCCATCCAGAATCCTGGGGGGTGGGGCGCTTTCATGTTCTGCAGGTGGGGGCCCAGGAATCAATGTGGGAAATCCTGCACCGCTGTCTCCCCTTTAATGCACATGCTGCCAGCTATACATGGAAATATGAGGGGAAGAAACTGAACATGGATTATACCCTGGAAGAGAATGGGATCCGGGATGAGGATGAAGAATTTGACTATCTCAACATGGACGGTACACTCTACACACCTGCAATACTGCTCTACTTCGACGATGACCTCACAGAGCTATAGGGTTGGAGACGAAGGCTTGTGTGGACTCAAGATGTATTTTGAGTTTGGCCGTATCTGTGTCCTGTAGGTGGGGGAGGGGGCGGAGGGCTGGACATAGACCTCCACTCCGATCTGGGAACTGGCCTGTGGTTCCCGCGTCCTTCTGAAGTGTACAGGTCCTATTTCCCAGTCCCGCTGTGATTTGTTCAAAGTTAGGGAGAATGCTAGAAGCACGTTCATTAATTCTCAGGAGTGACATGAGAAGATAAAGTATCTTGGGTTAGGGAGACAGCCAGAGCTCAGGCAGAACTTTTTGACAGTCGGAGAAGAAGCCCTACACAGGGATGAGGGATGGGAGAACTTGTATGGCAGTGATGGGAACGGGGACGGCTGCGAGAGGATGGGATTTCCACAGACAGGAACAGGAAGTGTCTATTGCTGGCCATACAAAGCTGGCTGATCTGCCTTCTGAAGAGTACTTGCTAGTTGGAACCCCAAAGGGAAGAAAGGAAGTGAAGGGTTAGTCGGTAGTTCAGGCTAGACCTTATGCTATGTGCTTTGTATACCCTTTTTAATGCAGCTACTCTCTAAGGTGGGTGCCGTCACCACGATCTTACACAGAAGTCTTTTTGAAGCTAAGAAAGATTTTTTTTCCTATTTGGCTTTCGTAAGCGATCGATGACCCCGGGCAGCATCCCATCCAGCAAGTAGAGGGGAGCTCCCTAAGCTCGGCAAGATTTAGTAGCAGGAAGGCACACTGGTTAGTGGCCAGGATGCAAACTCAAGTCTAAATCCAAAGTTCGTGTTCTTTCAGGGTAGAGAGAGGATCTCACTGTCCTAGGCTCGTCCCAAAGACAGCCGCCATGGGGGGTGGTGGCCAGATTTGTCTCCTTTAACCCCGGCAGGGGAGGGGAATGAGGATGACAGGCAGCACCCCCACCCGCGGAGTCTCCTACCCGCAGCACCTCCTGCCAGAAACGCCCCCCTCTCCTCGCACCCCCGTCACTCTCCAAGGAGATCCTAGCTCCTAAATGCCTCTGGGATGCATCCTCTTCCTCACTGCTTGTCCAGACCGCTGTGCAGACGTCCTCACCAGCCCCCCACTTCCGCGTCCGCCCCCGACCCCCCACGCAGTAGTCCGAGTGAGCGCTGAGAACCAAACCCAGCATCTGACTTGCCTTCCTTCGGAGTCTTCAGTGGCTTCCGGGTGCTTTGGGAATAAGGTCCTGTCCATCTGAAGACGCTGCACGAACCGGCCGGTGCCCCCCTTGCGTGCCTCACCTCTGTTCCCTGTGTCCCAGCCGCTGGGGCTGTCTCCGTGACCCAGAGCCCTAACACACCGTTCCCTCTGCCTCCACACTCTTCCTCCCGTCCCCCACCTAGCTGACCCTAAATGTTTCTTCCTCAGGAGCTTTTCTGATTTCTTGGTGTAGAAAGCAAGATTTTCCATTAGATCGTCTCTCAGCATCACACTTATTCCAGAGTACTTATTCCAGTGTTGGTTTTAAGATTATGGATGTGAGACGGCCATCTGGGTCACCGCCGGGTTCCCAGTGTTGGGCGCACAGTCGCTGCTCAATAAATGTTGATGGGATGACCTCCAATGTTGAGTGAACTCATCTGTCCATAGTAACTAGTGTGGATGGGACGCTGTGACCTGGGAGGCAAGGCGAGACCAAGAAGTAGGACGTCGGGCAGCTGTGGCAGCTTCTCTGTCCTGGTTCCCCTCAGAACGAGACCAAACCCTAGAGGCCTTCCTCTGCCCAGATTTGGGGGGAAATCCACCTGCCATTCCCCCATATGGCCATCAGGTGGCGGTCGTCGCCCACAGAGTCGGGGGCGGGGGGGGAGGGGGGACAAGGGGGGGAAAACCCGCCCAAGTTCTAAAGAGGTTACAATCAAAGGGGGCTCCCTGGAATGTACAGGTGGGAGGAAGGATCTGAAAAAGGAAACACCACATGGCTCCTGTTTTTTTAGCATTTGGCTACATTCTGGTCTGTATTTTGTCCACCAGGAGTAAAGTTTGAGGAATAAAACCCATGGGATGGCGCAGGTAGGGGCTCTGATTACAGGTGTGGGTGTGTTCAGGGCCAAGTGCAGAGCTGCGGACGGAATAAAGAGCACGCATTTCAAAGAGAATACAGTACATTCCCTTAGTAACACTTACCGACGTGTGTGCGTGTGTGTAAAGCTTTTCCCGAGGCACTACCTTGTTGTTCTCTACAAATCCAAGGCTGGCTGTTTGCATGAGGAGTATGTAAATATTGCCTCGGCCAAAAATCTAGAAAGTACATAGCACATGAGCGTGGGGTCCAAGTCCTCTTGCGGTGACCTCTTCTGTTTTGGAGCGGGGTGGGGTGACAGTTGGAATACTGAACGCTGCCCATCCTCAGGAAACCATAGCGACTTCAAAGGACTCAACTGGCGGATTTCCCTCGAGCTGCCGTCCCTGTGAGCACAGATCACTGAGGAGAGCAAAGGCCCGTATGTCCTCGCAGGGGCCGCCTTCTCAATGGGATAAAACATACACACATGAAAAGGTAAGTGAAGACAGTACCCAATAAAGGACCAAATTATGGTCCAGAAAACGTTTCCACCCTCAGGGCAAGTCGCAAGTGGATTCTTCACCTGGATCTCCAGAAGTGCTGAGGTGGTTTCTAAATCGTGTGTCTGTGTGTGTGTTTGCACGTGTGCGCAAGCTCAGATACGTATTATTTTGGAGAAAGGTGCTATCATTTCCATGAGTCTCAAAATGGCCCAATCCTCTGCCCCGACATAGTACACACACACAAACGGGTCATTTAAAGTGACGTGTGAAAGGTGCTAATATAATGTAGTCCCGGGACTCTGAGCACCCGTCTCAGTGCTCTACCTCGACTCTTACACCTGTGTTCCCGTGGCAGCAATTCCTAAAGCTTTAACCCTGGGGGCGAAGTTTAGGACTAGTCTGAAACCTTTTAGTACTGCCCCCGATTCCGATCTGGATGCACACTGGAGCAGAGGGAGGGGATCTCTCATTTAGTCTTGACCCCAACGCCCAGACACCGGCGGCAGGTTAAGGTTGACGGGCCCAGCCCCGCACAGCCGAGTTTGGGTAAACCCCATGGACATTGTTGCTATTGGGACGGCCTCCACCATCTGACTCAGTCATCTCTGCGCCCGCAACAGCCCCCGAATGCCCGGCGTGGAGTGGCAATAAAGACACACCTGTATTCATCATCCAGGAATGAACGGTCCACGTAAGCCCTGCTCTTTGAAATGTTGGAACTCGGGCCATACGACGCAGAACACGTGAAGGTCTTGCCGCTTGCCCGCCCTGGCCATTTGAAGAGAGCTGCAGAGAGGTGGAGAGTCACATCTGTGCTGGTGAGTCCTGCCGGCCCTCCTCTGGAGCAGTGAGCAAGATGAAATGTCCCCCTGCCCTTAGCGGACAGCCCCTCCGGGCAGACCTTCCTCCACCCCAGCGGGTCACTGAGAACGGATCCCGTGCAAAGAACAGAAGGCTCAGTGCTCGGACCTAACTACCAAGAGTTCGTTTTTCTCAAATAAGAGTCTGTGGTGCCATCATTCCACAGGGCAGCTCTGGGCCTCACGTTTGTCGCTGGTCTCGCTTCTCTACTTCGGGCCCGCGCCGTGGGCAGGAAGGGGGGAAGGGGGGAAGGGGGGAGGCGGCAAGGGCGGGGCCTAGATGCAAGCACTCATTTTGCCAGCAGTCCTTCGAAGACTTCTGAGCACATCTCACGGGTGGGACGTGGGTGGCACAGGACCCTTGGCTGCGAGGGATGTGGGATGACGTCCACAACAAGAGCAGGGACGGCTGCTGCGGAGGGACCGTCCGGACACCGGGTCGGGACCAGGTCGGGACCTGCGAGGGCTTCCGCGACGGCTTCCGCGACTCACGCGCGCGGGCTGCTCGTCCATTCGTTAACCACACAAAGTTATCAGGCGCTTTGTGCGCGGCCCTGTTTCGGGTCCTGGGGATGCAGAAGTGAGGGTCAGGCACTGGGACCCGACACGCAGAGACAGGGTCGCTGCAGATGGGACCGAAAGCTGTATGCTGTAGATGCACGCGCGCACCTACTATAAAACAGACACACAACCACGGGAGAGAGTGACGGTCGGCGGCTCCGGGGCTCGCCCGGACGCTGCCGCGGGCCGGTCTGTGTTGCCTGGAGATCTGCGTGCACCTGCATTCATCACTTACTCATTCACCCGCCTCACAACAAACCGAAGTACTGAGGACCCGGAGGCAGAGAGAGATGAACGAACTTGCCAAAGGTCACACAACTACACGGTGAGTAGCCGCGCCCCCCGCTGTGGGACACAGGACGCACACAGGACGCGGGGCCAGCTGCCTGTGGGACCTGCCTGTCGCTGCACATCAAAGCCAGCCTTCAAACAGCCCCCGATCTTTATTTTGCTAACAGACCTGGGATGTGGGCAGCGTTCCGTGGGGACCCCGCCCGGTGTACTGCCCTGAGCTGCAGGATCCACTTGCAAGTGGCTCAGTGGCACCGCTGGCAGGTGCTGTTGGCCGTGGACACCCGTTGTGTGGCCCCCCCACGGGGCAGCGTGGCCTTCCCCCACCCCCCCACCGTGGCAGCCGGACACGGAGAGCAGGTAGCTCCAGACAAGTAGAAGGAAGCCGGCCTCCAATCCAGGGGGAGGGAGCGAGGCCTCCGGCTCAGAGGGAAGGGGCCAAAGTTACAAAACGCGGGCTGGGCGGCAGATCTTACTTCTGAAACCCCCCCAGGCTCCCTTCTGGCAGGGCCTTGTCCCATGCTGTCCCCTGCGCCGAACGCCCCACCCCTCACTGCTGGCTTGGTCAGCTCCTTCCCCTTAAGAGGCTCTGCTTAGTGTCATCTCCTCGGGGGAGTCTTCCCTGACCCCTCCAACCGTGTCAAACATTCCCTCCCTCCCTCTCAATGCAATGCAAGTATTTAGTGTTAATTCAGTTTAATGTCCACCTTCCTCCCTTCTTAGACTCAAAGCTCTAGGAGGGCAGACAGCTGGCCCATATTTGCCACTGAGTACCCAGCACCTCCCTCTCTCGGTGCTCAGCCCAGGGCAGTCACTCAAGATTCATAAAAGGAACAGAGGTGAAAGGCTAAGTACGAGGTGCCTCAGGAACATCCAACCCCAGCCTGAGGAGATCAGTGAAGGCTTTCGGGACAGGCATCACCTCCAGCTGAGGCCCGAAGGGACCAGGGAGTCGAGGGATAAGCAGGAGAGGACAGAAGGCTTCCTGCAAAGAATAAACAGCACAGAGTTTAGGGGTAAGAGTGGCGAGCTGGGGAGCAGAGGGCAAAGCTAAGAGACAGTGGCTGGGGAGGGTGGGCGATGAGGGGTGTGGAGGCCAGACCAGGTCAACTGAGGCTTTGTAAACCTGGCTTTTGTTTGTTCATTTGTTGAGATATAACTCACACACTATAAAAGTCACCCTTTCAAAGTGTACAGTTCAGGGTTAAGCGTTTTCTAGGGAGAATAGCACAATCAGATTTGCATGGTAAAGAGGTGACCTGCCTACAATGTCAAGAGAACGGACTGGAGGGGAGAAAAGTGGGGACAGATCCAGGAGAGGGATGGAGGCGGTGGGGACTAAGTTCGGGGCTGCGGAGGTCAAAGTAGATGGCCAGAAGTGAAGGCAGAATCACCTGGCTCCATAATTTCCTGGAGGCAGGTCTGGGGCAGAGGGAGGAGACCAGGATGATACTCCATTGTCTGGCCCTGGGGGACCGAGAGGATGAAGAGTCGGCCGACGGAGAAGGGGACTCTGATGGGGGAAGAAGGTGATGTGTTGTGAGTTGGCCGTGAAGTCACTTTGGGGCACACAAATCACAGGCGGTCCGTGGCACGGGGTCCCGGAAGAGCGCTCAGGGCCGGCGTGTGAGGTGTGAGGATTGCCACCTGCGGGGATGAGCCCCTGCTCGAGGATGGAGAAGAGCCAGAGCGCAGAGAGTGACCGAAGACAATGGTGGAAGCCGAAGAGAGCATCAGAGAGGAGGGGGTGGTAAACGCTGTGAGGCGGTCTATCGAGGTTAAGACCAGGACTCGGCTGTCCCCGGACGGAGCCAACAGCGAAATGGTCGTACGTCAGAGAAGGCGGGCTGTCGTTGGATGAGGCATGACCGGATGGTCGCAGAAGGAATCCAGCTGCAGAGGCTTTGGGACCACGCGCAGAATACTTTCCTTTCTTCAGACCCCGTTTCTTTAGCTGTCAGCTATGAGTAACAGAAGTAAGCGTTCCCAAAGGACAACAAGCATAAACCAGGACACGGTCACGCTACACGGAAGCTCCCTTCCAGCGTTGTTGGGAAGACTGAATGAGCTAGAGTATGGGAGAACGCCCAGCAGCGCCCAAGGCCTTTTGAACAGGCACCCCCAAATTTTCGTTTTCTTCTCCTTTCCATGTGCCAGCCAGAATTTCGTCACGCATGCTTCTTGAGGGACTTCCTGGGATTTGGCGTTACTCAGCATCCAGGTGACATCTGTCACGGTTAGAGACCTGGTAGGCTGTATCTGGGACTAACATTTGGTTTCCAACCCAACAAAAGTGTTTGTGCCTCCACTGGGAGAACTGGGCCCAACAGAACCTGGCTCGTTTCCTATATTCTCGGGTTGGGCTTGTGTATAGGAAGCAGGAGAGAGCCTGGAAATGGGGCCAACTGTTGGGAGCAGAAGCTACAGGCAGCCCTTAGCTCCTTCAGGGCAAGTGCTGTTCGTACCTCAGGCCGCAAATCCTCTCACCTTCAGCTGCGTTAAGTGAATCTCTCTACGGTGAGAAACGGTCCACAGTATATGGGATTGTTTAGGGTAAGAGCTACCAACTGTCTGGCATCTTGCAGCCCGCGCTCTCTGCAAGTTTAGCTCTCCTGATGCTCCCGACGGTCCTGTGAGGGAGGCCCTGACCTCCCTGTGTCACACACGGAGGGCTGGGCCTGAGGGAGAAGTCACTCGCCCAAGGTCGCTTTGTAAGTGGAAGAGCTGGGTTTGCAGGTGCGACCCGACCCCCAAGCTCAAAGTCTAACGGAGGGAGTGGGTGACTTCATTACTTGGCTCTCGACTACATATTAGGAGTTACGCAGTTTGGAATATAGAATCTTTTGGGGAAAAAAAAGTTGATTTTTGTTTACTAATCATATCTAATTTAGTCTAAAATTAGAGTGACTTTTGGAGTGCCTGGGTGGCTCAGAGGGTTGAGCGTCTGACTCTTGATTTCAGCTCAGGTCATGATCTCATGGGTTGTGGGATCGAGCCCCGTGTCGGGTTCCATGCTCTGCAGGGAGTCAGTCTGCTTGAGGATTCTTTCTCTCTCTCCTCCTGCCCCTCTCCCTGCTCGCACACGTGCGCACACGCTCTCTCTCTCTAAAGTAGATAAATATATCTTAAATAAATAAATAAAAACAAAATGACTCTCGTTGTCCAGAGAGCTCGATGGCGAAAAGGCCCAAGAGCAGGCCAAGGGGCAGGAGGGAGCCAGCTTGGGGTTGGCACTGACCATGACAAAGCTATAATCTGAGAGACAGGTATCAGCCAGGAAAGGTGTCAGGGCAATTCTGCTCAGACAACTGGGCTTGACGTTAGAGGGCATTTCTAGCTAGCCAGCCAATGGAGAAGGAGTAAGACATTGTTAAAAGGCAATGTCAAAAGGGAGGAAAGGGTTGCTTTTGGCCATTTCGTACAGGACCCTACAGTTTCCATGACCATGGTCAATCGGCGCGGGTCTAAAAGAAACAGTGAAGAGAAAGACCACTGATTTGGGGCTTAGAGCTTCCTCCTCAACGAAGAGCAAGGGAACGGATTTCGCTAAAAGCCAGCAATAGAAGTGTAAGCAGATGTGAGATCACAGAAGCCGAGCAAGGACTATTTCAAGAAGGGGGTGGCAAGTGAAGAACTCAGAAATAGCCTCTGTATCGGCAGCCCGGGGGCTGTTGGCCGCCTGCAGGTCGTTCTTCCAGGAGGCGCGGCTGTGGGTGGGCACAGGGAGGTAGGGTGGCAGCTGGGGGGGCGGCGGGGGTCCAGAGGACTTCTTTTAAAGACAAGGAGATGTGGTTGAGAAGGAGCAAGTAGAAGGGGAGGTAAGGGAGCGCTGCGGGGTCTCCGGGAACCATTAGTCCCTGAGGAGGCGGCAGGGGTGGGAGGCAGAGCCCCGGGCCCGCAGGGACCAGCTTCAGACGGGACCAAGAGGAGGGAGGAGGGAAATCCACAAGCTCAGTGTCTGAGTGTCTCAGTGCTACGGCTTCCAGGGAGCTCTCATCTGATGATCTGGCTCCTGGAAGGGGAGGATAAGGTTTCCTCCTGGAGTAGGAAGGTGGAGGAGGTCTGAGGAATGCGAGGAAGGTTTGGAAAAGTCACCACGGGGAACTGAAAGGCGGCGGCGGGCTAGGGAAAAGGATTTCTGAGCAGGGACGCTGGTCAGCAGGGGCATAGAGGGGTCCTTGGGCAGCGCTGTGCATGCTGGGTATAAAGAGGCAGCAGAAGCGGCCACGGTTTGAGGTGGGTGGGAGGAGGTCAAGGACAGGACACCAAGACACCTGGCAAGACAGTGGCTGAAATGACAGAGCATGGGCTCTAAGCTGGATGGGGATAATGGGTGGTGAAGGCACTAGAGTGTCTTTCAGGTCCAAGAAAAGCAGAGAGATGAGAGCTGGAGGGACAGAAAGTTATAGGCAAAGCAGGGGGCTTGAAACTAGAATTTCAGAAGAGGTGAGTGCAGAGGTGGGACAGGTGTGGAATGGAGAGAAAGGTCTTTGGTTAGGGAGTCGAGGGCAGGACTGAGTCAGGTGCCCGTCTTCAGTGAATGAGGGGGCAGGACCAGGGCGAGCACACATGGCCAGGAAGAGAGGCGCTGGGGGCCCAGCCAGGCTGTAGAAGCTTAGAGCGGGGCTTTGTCACCTGGGATGGGGGACCTGGAGTCAACCCTGGAGATGAGGAAATAGATTCCTTTGGGGCGCCTGGGTGGCCCAGTCCGTTA